TCAGACAACAAGTAGGTTGTCTCCATGGAACACCAAAGGCGCAAGCTGAGAGGATCGTTATAGTAGTGTACTCCACAACTACCTAGTTGGTAAGCTTTGTCTTTGCCATACTCGATTGAAGTCGGAAATTGCAACAAGCCCCTACGAATGTATTGAGACGAGATGAACGAGACGACGAAGCGACCGTTCGCAGCCCAGCTCTGGAACCCGAGAAAAGCTCCCAATACGTGAGCGCTTATGTTTTTTTGGGATGTACCCAAGACCCAGATCCTGCGATCTCATCTACCAAACAGACGAGGACAATGCGCTCCGGGGCGTCGATCATTACGCATGGAAGAGGGAGTACATCCTCGCTGTTGCGCTGAGCAATGGCCGCTACGGTTTGTTAAGTCCGAAGGAAACCCCTTCGCCGTCATCAGTGGGCTAGGCGGATCTCGGCAGCGACACCGTATAGAGATGCTTCCGGCCGAGGTGTGGCTCAGGAGGCCTAAGTGGCTCATGCGCTCGGCTTGTTTACGTTTCGCATTCGCGATACCGAGAGTGAGTTGGTCTATTTGCGGTGGCGTTTTTGATTCAGACTCTGCAGAAGCCTAGTTCAGCTGAACAAGTGAGCTGACCTACAGCATGAGTCGCTGAGTTATTTGTGAGCATGTGTTTGGTACCCCGCGATTAATCCGACATATTCGATGACAAAGTCGTGGCGGAGGCGCAAGCCAAGATGGCGGGACGTGCCTGACGTCAAGCCACAGACGACACTGAGGGGCCGGAGCATTGGCAAGACAGCTGAGGAACGCAGACGGACTTAGTTGAGAGATGGTGACAGGGCAGCCGTTGACGCTCAGTCGCGGTAGCAGTAGAAGCGTGGTGAGGCTGAGCAATGCCAGGGCCTAGCCAAACCTTAGGGCGCTAGCAAGATCGACCGAGCCGTTTAGGCTGTCTCCACTCCGTGTGTTCCGGAGCGATCCACACCGGATTTTCCTTGTCTCCTGGAATCCATCACCACAAGATTAGCAACAGTTGTGCTAGATCGTCGATTATCCCGCCAGCGCACAGCAGTGCATCGTGGGGTGACCCTGGGAACAACTCCCGTCTAGCAACTATCGATAGTGTTGAGACGCACGAACGCCATCCCCAGTGTTGATCAGGCAGATGAACAGCAAGGCCGCAACATCAGACTGCGAAGACGACAAGGGATCCAGTATGAGGATACTCGCCGTATACCGTCATATTCGGTCCCCGGCCCAGAAAGATGGTTGAGCAGCGTACCTAGGTATACACCGGCGTACGAGCGGGTACGCGAGATCTGCCGGGCACCAGCCAAGAGAGGGTAGGGGATTCGGGCCCCTGAGAGTCCCACGGTACGCAGCGACTCCCTGCATGACCTCTGCGACGTCCATCGACAGCATCTTTACGCGAGCATCCACATCGTCACATCTCCAGAGAATGAAGATGGCTAGCTCAGCAATCTAGCTCCTGGCCGAAGAAACTCAGATTCCGACTGCGCTCACGTGCCTCGCATCGCCGCGGGGGCAGAGAAGCATAGTAACGTTGGCATCTCAGCAATCACGGAGCGATCGCGTCTTTACTTGCAATGTGCCATCCATGTGCAAATCGATGCAAGTACCAATGCTTAGCACAAGATCTGAGGAAATCCATCGCGGAGGATCCCCAACGGGTGTAAACGACGGAACGAACAAAGAAGTCGCTTTAGGCAAGGCTGAAAAGATCAACACCGCTGAAACGTTCACACATACAGTCTACCCCTGATGAGCTGATCGGGACTTCTGCGCGCGCAAGTCTGCTTCCCTGGAGGCGGACTATTGATATGTCCAACAGTAGTCTCTAAGCTAACCGGATAAGTGGGCCTTTAGAACACTTCGGGACGACGTCGGGATCAAAAATAAACTAAGCTTTCGCTTAGCGATTCGCTTTGACCGTGATGCAAAGCCTCGGGTCGTCGATACCTGCAGCGGCATCATTTCTGGTGTGTCGATCTTTGCTGTAGTATCGTCCTAAAGATTTGTATAGCATCGCATTGCAACACCATGGCCTTGGGAGATACAGCAAAGCCCTTGACCTCGTCATTTCGCGACGAGCTGAGCTGACAAGACTTGCATCTATCAGGTCCAGACTCAGCCTGCCATTGGGCTCTCATTGGTGGCGGCCTCGGTACCTGCATGCGTGCTGCACGTTCCTGGCGTTGGCGACCACGACAGTTCACCCGGAGCTAGGCTAAAGTTTGGTGGACTATTGTTTCCAGGCACTGCCGCCAACTCTTTCAGGAAGACAGGTCGAACTTACCGGCCATGTTTTCGTCTCCACCCATGACATCGATCTCAAATCAGTAGTCAACCACCGAGGTCGACAGGGCATGACTATGTGCCTCTTGTGTATATAAGACCCTCTGGCACACTGGGCAGTAACTCATCATCAGCTCATCAGCATCGGTCCTTCACTACTACAATCTCCTACACTACTTTCGCTACTCTTCTATTCGATCCTTCGATATGCGTTACTCTCTCTTCCTCGGGGCTGCTGCCCTCGTGGCCGCTTCTCCTGCTCCTCAGGCATTCGATGTCAACCAATTCGATTCCATGGCCAACAACCTCGCTCAGGGCCCCAAGGCAGGCGTCGTCAGTGAGCAGGCCTACAACCAGGCCAAGGCTCAGGACGTTGCCGCCGCCGCTGCTACCGGCGCTGCCACTGCTCAGCAGGCGAAGAGGACCGTTGGTGCCCAGCTTGAGGCACGCGACCCTACTTTCTGGTGGAACTGGAACCAGCAGAACAATCCTCCTGCTCCCGCTCCTACCAAGGCTCCTGCTCCTGCTCCCACCGCCGCACCTGAGGGCAACCCGTCCTCTACCAACCTCGCACCATCTTCGTGCACCCCGGTTAGCTGGACCAACACCTTCGCGTTCACTGCCGATCCCGCTTGTGCTACTCAGATCGAGGTCGGCACATACTGCGGATTCATCAACCCCGATGACCCATGTGCTGCTCAGCCCAACGCCTACGGCCCACCTACCACCCCCGACACTGCCGATGCTTTCAAGAACAACGAGGTCTACCACAAGATGGCTACTAGTGCTAAGTCGCCATCTGGCTACACCTCCTCTTTCGTTGACCTTAGCGCTTCCGTAGAGGGCAGCGGTTACCTCGGATACTACGAGCTTACCAGCTACGACACTGCTGCTTGCGCCGCCAAGTGCGACTCTACCTCCACCTGCACTGGCTTCAACCTCTACATTGAGCGTGACCCCAAGTGGAACCCGCGCCAGTGCTCTTGCGACAAGCCCGACTCTGTTACCCGCTTCAAGTGCACTCTTTGGGGACAGGATGTCAAGAAGGAGTCTGCTACCAACGTCGGCCAGGGCCAGGATGGATTTGAAGTCGTGATAGGTAAGTTCTGGCTGTCCGAAATGCATGTGAGACATATACTGACTTCGTACCTCTACCTCTAGTCGGTTCCAACGGTTACAACAAGGGTACCTACAACCCTCCCACTCCTCCTTCTTGCAGCAAGCCCCAATCTTGCGGCCACAAGCTCCACAACCAGCAGCCCTACTGCATGGGTCAGACTACTTTCCCCGGTCCTTTCGATCCTTCTCTCTGCGCTGCCTACGCCCAGAAGCAGAACGAGGTCAACCGCAAGCACGGCATCATTGGCGCATGGCTCTCCATGTTCGGCATGAACAAGGGTGGCTGCGTCCAGTTCCAGGCTGCTTACCTCGAGAAGGACGGCAAGGGTTTCGGTACCCACTGCCGTCTCTTCACCAAGAAGTTCCTTGCCACCCAGGCCAACCTCGACATCAGCGTCGGTGGTACCTCCAAGTGGGGCTGCCAGAAGTCCTTCACCTGGGACGTCGATGTCAACGCCAGCTTCAACTGGGGTGGCTGGTCTTACTTCAAGAACAAGCGCGACGAGTAAACGCTCGCTGCTCTCCCGACAACAACAACGACTTATGTCTGCATCGCATGGGCGCACCAAAATTCGAGATGGTGATGGTTGACGGTGGATATCATGACTAATACTCTTCTTCGTTTCTGTAAATAACTCTTTGGCTTTACATTGAGCATTAGCTCGTCGCATAGTCACTCCTTAGTATGATTTTAGCATCTTGGTAGTTGTAATGTAACAATATGTGCTCTTTGAACTTGCCTTCTTCTGCCCATCTCAGTACCGTCCCGATTGACCCAACCCATCTATTAGGCTTGCGCAAAAGATTCCAGTCAACCGTACGACGATTTCGACGGTGGAACTCGAACAGTCAACTCCGTGGATTCGAAGAACCCTCCACGTGTACACCTTGCTCGCCTGAACAGGTCTGCAGCTTACATCAAGATGTACACACGCAAAGTGAGGGATCTGAAGTCAACGTAAGCTTCAGGGTGTTATGTTTTTGTTTTCTTGAGCGAGGTACTAACAGGATGCGTTGGTGGACGGAACCAAAGACACCAAGCGCGCTTCGAACGGAAGATAGACCAAACGGTCGGGACTGTGCCCCACAGCGCGTGATCGCCTGGCACGAGCGGGGAACCTTCACCCATCTTCCGTGGGAGGACAACGTGCTGAACAAAGACCCGCAATGTTCTGGATTGTAAACTATATTGTCAAGCGACCAATACGCACCTTTTTCCGCTTTGAAACTGTCGCGAACGCATGAAGAGAGGAGAAGTGTATTATCACACGTCTCGTGGGCTCGTGAATCCTGGGCTTGGTTCATGCAGGGCACCTGGGCAGGGTGGAGGAGTGCGGGGAAGCACCGCGCGGTCGTGTTTAATTCGGCAGAACACAAACACGAGAAAGGGAAACGCGGCCCAAAGGTACCGCCTTATTGTACCACCATGTCTCGCAAACCGTGGCACTTGTGGTGCTCACTCACACTGCATCCTGGCCTTCTTTCAGCTGCTAGTCGTGCCTTCTTTCGGAACAACTTTGGAAATCGCCAACAGATGCGGGTTCCCAGCTTCTCCCTTTGCTCGATTTCATTCGAGACAGCATGAGTCCCTCTCTGAACTGTCTCGCTGGCCGTAGGGCGCTTGCCCTTCGCCCGCAGCGGGGCAGCTTACTTGCTACGCTGAAGCAGTGTGCTGCCACCTCTGGCCTGAAAGCAACACCTCTGCTGGAACGTGGTGATCGTTCTTCAAAACATAATTTGGCTACAACAAGCCTTCGGGGACTTAGCCGCCCGCACCCGCCCGCGCTTTCCCTGCAGCACCATGTCTCGCAGGTTACCGCTGTCGCGCGGTATGCATCCGGGCAGGCATCGGATCCGCACGACGAGGAGCTACCTAGCACCCCGCCGTTCACCGCAGGTCCTTATTCCAACCTCACTATTGGAGTACCCAAGGAAAGCTATCCTGGCGAACGAAGGGTCGCGATTACGCCACAGGTATAGTCTCCTCTCGCATTCGCTGTCTTTGAGACACATACTTACTTGACAACCTTATTTTGCAGAACGTGAAACTTCTACTCAAGAAAGGCTTCTCGCGCATTCTCATCGAGTGTGGAGCTGGCAGTGCTGCGCAATTTACGGATGAAGCGTTTGAGCAAGCTGGCGCGCAGACAGTCGACCGCAGGAATGTCTTCTCAGAGAGTGACATCCTGCTCAAGGTCCGGGCCCTTAGCATCGATGGAAAAGACAGCGAAGTGGATGCCATCCGAGAGGGCGCCACAGTCATCTCAATGCTCTACCCGATGCAGAACAAGCCGACCGTTGATCGAATCGCTTCCCGCAAGGCCACTGCATTCGCAATGGACATGATCCCGCGTATCTCACGAGCGCAAGTTTTCGATGCACTGTCGTCAATGGCGAATATTGCTGGTTACAAAGCCGTCCTGGAAGCTTCCAATACCTTTGGTCGCTTCTTGACTGGCCAAGTGACTGCTGCTGGAAAGGTGACCGTCACTTCATCTAGTTCAGATCCTTGCTAATCATTACTAGATCCCTCCTTGCAAGGTCCTCGTAATTGGTGCTGGTGTCGCGGGTCTGAGTGGTAAGTTCTGACTGTACGAAGTGCATGTGAGACACATACTAACTTCGTATTTCTACCTCTGTAGCAATCGCGACGGCTCGACGTATGGGTGCCATTGTTCGTGGTTTCGACACTAGATCTGCAGCACGTGAGCAGGTCCAATCTCTAGGTGCGGAATTTATTGAAGTCGATATCGCCGAGGACGGCTCCGGAGCTGGCGGCTATGCCAAAGTCATGTCTAAAGAGTTCATCGAGGCCGAGATGAAACTCTTCTACGACCAGTGCCGAGAAGTTGATATTGTGATTACCACTGCCCTGATCCCAGGCAAGCCTGCACCGAAGTTAATCACGAAGGCCATGCTCGGCGCGATGAAACCCGGCTCTGTAATCGTGGACCTAGCGGCCGAAGCTGGTGGTAACTGTGAAGCTACGGAGCCGGGAAAATTGGTGTACTACAAAGGAGTATCCGTTATAGGTATATTTCGATGATGTCCTGAGATGATCCAATACTGACCGCAAATGCAGGATACACCGATCTTCCATCCCGTCTACCCACCCAGTCGTCAACTTTATATTCCAATAACGTTACCAAGTTCCTGCTATCACTGACCCCAAAGGACAAAAAGGAGAAGTACTACGATGTCGACCTCACTGACGAAGTTACCCGCGGCGCAATTGTCACCTACAATGGCAAGGTCCTTCCACCAGCTCCACGTCCGGCCCCTCCACCAGTTCAAGCTAAGCCCGCACCTTCGCCTGCCGACCAAGTCGCCAACGCTGTTGCCCTGACACCGTGGCAGACCCAGTCGCGACAGGTAGCTAGCGTGACGGCTGGCATGACTGCTGCACTAACTCTAGGTAAATTCACGGGCCCACTGTTCATGAATAATGTTTTCTTTTTCGCGCTGTCCAGTCTGATCGGATACCGAGGGTAAAGTCGCCGCCACGAATAGCTTTCAAAATATTTTGCTAACTTCTTACTAGTATGTATCCCTCGAACTACGCTTTGGCTGTTCTGAGATATCTTACTGTTCATGCTAATAACTTATAGTGATCTGGGGCGTTGCACCTGCCTTGCACTCTCCGCTTATGAGCGTAACGAACGCCATCTCTGGTATCATCGGAGTGGGTGGCCTGTACGCAATGGGTGGCGGCTATCTGCCCGAGACCATCCCGCAAACCCTCGGAGCCTTGTCGGTTCTATTGGCCTTCGTTAACATCTCGGGTGGTTTCGTTATATCTAAGCGTATGCTTGATATGTTCAGACGACCTACTGATCCCAAAGAGTACCCCTGGCTTTATGCAGTACCCGCAGCTCTATTTGGCGGTGGTTTCATCGCAGCAGCTTCCACTGGCATGGCAGGTCTGGTCCAAGCAGGCTACCTTGTCAGTAGTGTTCTCTGCGTGACCTCGTTGTCAGGACTTGCGTCGCAGACAACAGGTAAGTTACGACTGTACGAAATGTATGTGAGACGTTTACTGACTTCGTACCACTATGCAGCTCGTCGCGGCAATTTCTTGGGCATACTTGGTGTTTTCTCAGGTTTTCTCGCATCCCTGGCTGCTGTCGGCTTTTCTTCTGATGTTCTCACCCAGTTCGCCGGTCTCGCTACGGTGGGTACTGTTGCTGGACTAATGATCGGACGGAGGATCACGCCTACCTCGCTGCCCCAGACGGTCGCGGCACTGCATTCGGTCGTCGGTCTCGCTGCTGTACTCACGAGTATCGGTAGCGTCCTAGGCCACTCTGGTGACATCTCAACTCTTCACATGGTTTCCGCCTACCTTGGTGTTCTCATTGGAGGTGTCACCTTCACCGGATCGATTGTTGCCTTCCTCAAGCTAGCCGCAAAGATGAGTTCGAAACCTCTGGCGCTACCTGGCCGGCATCTCATCAACAGCACGTTGCTCGGGGCGAACGTAGCAACCATGGGCGCCTTCTTGACCTACGCTCCGGGCGCACCTCTTATCGGCGCAGCATGTCTCGTTGGGAACGCAGCTCTGTCCTTTGTCAAAGGCTATACGACCACTGCTGCCATTGGCGGGGCAGATATGCCAGTTGTTATCACAGTACTCAACGCATATTCCGGGTTCGCATTAGTAGCCGAAGGTTTCATGCTGGATAACCCACTCCTAACAAGTGTTGGTAAGTCCTGGCTGTACGAAATGCATGTGAGACATATACTGACTTCGTACCTCTTTCTCTGCAGGCGCCCTCATTGGGGTATCAGGCTCAATTCTCTCATATATCATGTGCGTTGCTATGAACCGGTCGCTCACCAATGTCCTCTTCGGCGGTATAGCTCCCACAGTTCAATCCCAGACCAAGGTCGAGGGCGAAATAACGAAGACCACATCCGAAGAAACAGCCGAAGCCCTCGTCAACGCAGAAAACGTCATCATCGTCGTCGGTTACGGCATGGCCGTATCAAAAGCACAATACGCACTCGCCGACTTTGTCAAAAGCCTACGTGCGAAAGGCATCAACGTGCGCTTTGCCATTCACCCAGTCGCAGGCCGCATGCCAGGACAGTGCAACGTGCTTCTCGCTGAAGCATCCGTTCCCTATGACATCGTCCTCGAGATGGATGAGATCAACGACGACTTCCCGGATACAGATGTCACACTTGTCATCGGCGCAAACGACACCGTTAATCCCATCGCGCTGGAACCTGGTAGTGCGATTGCGGGTATGCCGGTTCTCCATGCGTGGAAGAGCAAGCAGGTTGTCATTATGAAGAGGGGCATGGCAAGTGGATACGCCGATGTACCCAATCCGATGTTCTTCATGGAGAACACGAAGATGTTGTTTGGCGATGCTAATGAGAGCTGCAACGGTAAGTCATCGCTTGGACTGATTGCTGTCCAGAATCTTGCTAACAAGACTTCAGCTATCAAACGTGCACTAGAGGAGAAGATTAAGGGGCTGTAGATAGATTTCGCATGGAGGGTTGAAGTACTTGCATCATCGTTCGTGATCCCTAGACAGTGTCTTCCAAGAGAGTGCTTGCATAGCTCATCGTAGCAAAGACATTCTTTCACGCAATTACCCTCGTTCAGAGCAACCTTTCTTCCCTGTTTCCTGCAGGATCACAAATGGTTCGCATTAGATCCATCTGGCCCACTACGAGAAATTCGTTGAAGAGCGGGGCACACACCCCTGTCAGCCACGCGCAACGCGTCCAGCGCGACCCTGGCCCGATGACGTACCCGGGAAACCAATGTATCACCAAGCCTGGGAAACCTGCAAAGCGCAGTCATGTTGTAATAGCTAACGCCTCGTCAAGCTTCCCAGATCATTCTATACCGCACACGCGCATCGTGAACAGATTATCGTATACACACCAACCAGCAGACGTACCAGACAACAAGAACACAACAACAGCAACATGTCCCTCCCCCTCCTCTTCACGATCCCGCCCTCGAACCGCCATGAGTTCCTCCTGCTCGACACGTCCTCCAAGATTACGTTGAAGTCGCTCAACGCGCAGATCACATCTACAATCTCTTCGAGCCCCAACTGCGCCGAATGTACGTCGCACAACGCTTCACAGATAGCCTGGAGATATCGCTAACATCTGAAACCACAGTCATGGCGAAGCACAAGGCCGCCGACGGCCCCAAAGAGACGATCCAAGAATTCAGGATACACTGGGATACCAAGACGCGGGATGGCAAGATCTGGCCCGAGTACACTGTCGTGACGGATGAGAACTTCCCAGCGATATTGGAGTTGTTGAAGGCAAATCCCGTCATGGGTGTGTTGGAGATCAAGCTCGGGAGCTCGGAGTAGAATAGGTTAGGATAAGACACAAAAATCACAGAATAATTCGTGACGATGAGACAAAGATGCTGCTGTTGTTTGAGAATCTTGTTTTCGTATACATTAGGATGCGACGACGGGAGCATTGCTCTAGCATAGTCGTGGTTCGTTACACCCGGAGTATATATACTACATAAGAAAAGCTTCGATACAAATAGCGTCGAAGTCATGTGAAAGGAGAGTGCGCCAGGAGGTAGTCTGGCGTCGAAAGCCAAGTGGAGGGTATCCGTAAATAACCGATGAAAACGCCAATGTATAAAGAAAATGCCGCTGGTATGCCATACCCATTGGGCTCATGCAACATGTGATGAATGCGCCGTGTTTGTAAAAGAAAATAGAGTGAGCTGTACGCCGCCGCCGAGATCAAGAGCTGTGCAATCCTCGTGTCACTTTGGCGACTTATCCGTTGGCTCGGTGATCATCTGCTGCCAATGCACCAGATCCCGACTCAAGAAGTCCATCATCTGGGTAGTGCTCAAATTCTTGAACTTCGCCAGGTCTGTATCCTCGTCCTTCTGCTGCTCTTGGGCCGGCTCGCCGTTTGCTGGTTGTACTGCCGGAGCGAGGCTTCCATGTTTCTCCCCTGTAGCCATCTCGACCTGTCGTTGAGCTATGTAGCTCTGCATAGCTCCGGCTGGCCTTCGTATATCGTTCCAGGAAAGTTTTTGCAGCCGCCAATTCTTTGTCTTGGTAGGTTTTTGTCCGGCTGTGCCATCGCTGCTGTCATGCCCATTGCTCGCTCCGTTTGTCATGTTCGTTTGCGGAGACTGTGCGATGTCGTTCTTGGGTGAAGTGCCGTTGGTCGCGGGCATGGTGTCTCTTGAGTACTGATTCCGCCCAAGTCGACCACGAGCCTTCTGTGGTGGACGTCCACCTCTCCGTGGGGCAGGCGCAGGCTTAGGTTCTGCGACGGGGGTGTCGGGGATTGTAGCTTCGGTCGCTATTGGGGCCATAACGGGCTCTTCGATGGTAGGGGCAGGTGTGGGCTCGGGTTCCTCTGTATCTAGCGACTGTCAGCCTAAGTCTTACTCCACTAAGCACAATTCATACCGTCTCCCTTTCTTCGCTCTGCACGGCCTTTCCGTCGATTCGCGGCTTCGTTACGGTGACTTTCGCGCTCCTTCTCGCGCTGTTCCTTTTCGCGTTGACTCTTTGCCGCAGCTCCGCGAGGTTTTTGCTTAGGAGCAGATGCCTTTGTACTATCGTCTTCGGATTCTATCACTGGCGAATTGCTAGGGGAGCGAGAGCCGGTCCGCTGTCGTTTGATCTCTGGCTTTGTCCTGCAGATTGTCAGCTAGATGTCCCTAGCGGCACATGGAGCAGCAAGCAAGACTCACTCTTCGCTGTCGTCGCGACTCCGCTTCTTTCGATTGCCGTTCTCTGAGGCTGTACCGCCCTCATGCTTGCTTTCTTCGAGTACCTTGCGGAGCACCTCGTCTTCGTCGTAGGCGGCTCGACTGTTCATGGTCGAACGACGCTTGCCAAAGGAATCTACACTCGCCCTATTGTTGCGATCCTTGTCCTTGCCTGGGTGTCCGTCTGATTCCTTGGAAACAGAAGATTTGCGGTTCTTGCTGTGTTGTTGATCGTAGACGGGGAGGTATCGAGAGTACTTTTGACTAGAATGGCAACCTCGTTAGCTCTCCATAGATAGTAAGGTAGTGGTCGCGCGATGGAGGAAATCTAGGGCTTGAGACCAAAGACAGAGAAACCCGTAGCGGGGTACAGAGCTCAAATGAGAACGACGATAAAGACAAGCACGTACCCTTTGGGACTTGATGTAACCTTGTGAAGGTCTTTCCTGCACTCCTCGCAGAAGTACTCGTCTGGGCTGGCAGCTTCGTCCATGATGCCTACACAGCCTCCGTGTTGCCAGACCTTGCAGACGTCGCACTGAATGAACAGTCCGCCAAGTTCATCGGCTTGCACATCTGGGTCCGCGAGAGCAGACGTGGACTTGGGAGTGTCGGATGGCGGGCCCGGGTACTCCTGGTAGCCACACACGCATCTGGTAACCTCGTCTTCCTCTGCGATGTCGTCTTCGAGCTCATCGTCGAGCTTCGCCGACTCGTCCTCGTCATTGTCGTGCTCGCGTGTTCGTCGGCGTGTCAGAGGCGGCTCGGGCTGCACGCCGTGAGGCGGTTCTTCGGGCTCTTCCGAGGAGAGCGAGTGTGGGGTCGACGACTTTGGCGGCGATGTCTGTTTGGGATTGACTCTGGATGCACGATCGGTACGCGCTGATGAGACGGAGGATGAGGAGTTGCTGTGCGTTGCGACGCTGGGTGGGGGCTGGGTGGTGCGAGCCCGCGATGACCGTCGCGGCGACATTGTTCCTGTAGCTGTCGCTATCGGTAAATACAATAGCAGTGCAGTATATGACCGAGGGCGATGCTGGCGAGCTGGGTGGTGTCGGATGCGCTTGGAAGGGTGGCCGGCCGAACGAGATCAGAGGCGGGAGGAAGGACTAGAAGGACGCGGTAGTGGACCGTGACGTGACGGAAGCGATGCAAGTCAATGGCAGAGGCGTCGCTATCGCGCAATGACGACGCTCTCGTCGGCGACAGTGGTGTCTGCTGGAGCGCAACGGTGACGCTGCAGGTGCGGAGACGGCGGGCCAAAAGCTCCACGAGCTTTAGAGCGCGGCAAGGGAATGGATTGACGACTGGAAAAGAATGCCGAGGTGCGACAGGAACATGATCTGGCTTGGAGCGGGCGTCTGGGGAGCTGGACCGGGACAATGCTGTGGGAGTGACCGAGCTGCCAGGACTCGATTTTACTCCTCACGCTCTAGCGGGCGGAACGCGAAATGGAACCCATTGCCCAGGTGGACCGACACGCCAACCGTATTCCCCGTCACGTGACGTGGGTTCAGCCGACCCTTGCATCCCTAGCAGCATGGCGGATCCGTGCGCGTAGAGGCTGTCGACGACTTTGGGGGCGTACAAGGGAGCGAGATGGAATATCTGCGACTTTGGTCTGGGTACGTTGAGCGCTTTGAGGGAATATCGGTGAGGGGCACAAGGTGCTGGCTGGCAGGTTTCGATTCAGAAGTTGCCCAGTGATCCGCAGCCGATGAGGCAGTCGCGCTAGCTCGCTTCGCGCGAGGGGTCCCACCGCCTGCGTGCATTGCCACTGGCCCTTGATTCACGCGAAACACATCATTACCGCTCGAGCGCCTGCCCCATCACGGGCGAAGCAATGTGAGCGTGAGGCGCTGAGTGCATCTTGAAAAAGAATGTTGTGGAGAAATGTAGTTACGACAAGTTCTGCATGGCTCGCTCACCAGAACGCCTTACTGAACGGAGAAACTGCGCACATCGATGCTACATATTCACATTTGCTCCTTGTTGTCCTATTGTAGATTCCAGGCCTCTTCAGCATTCTCACGCTATGCGTTGAAAACACAAGAGGAGCGGATCAGTCAAGCTCGGGAACAACACATCAACACTCTTGAAAGGGTATTAAACTTCATTCGCTAATTATACAAAAATCGTTCTATCCACAGAAAGCCTTAGGCCTTGCCCTCGATAATCTCCTTGTGTGTACCTGGAACAGGTGCACCGTTGGTCTTGTTCTTCTCCTCGTACTTCGCGCTGCTGCCAGTCATACCGTTGGCGACCTTGTTATCCTTAGACTTGGCCATGCCGTTGTGCGTTCCGTTGAATCGCAGGTTGGCAATACCAGGGTAGCCCTGGACACCAGTAGCCTTCTCCAGGCGCGAAGCGATATCCTCAGACACTTCCCTGAAGATGGCGATCTGGCGCTTGATAATCTCCTTGTTGGACACAGTCGACATGTGGCCAGAGATGTTGTTGACCCAGCGGTCCTTGGCAGCATCGTCAAAGACCTTCTCCCACAATGTGCGTGGTGCGTTGAAGTCCTCTGGACGAATCTCAGACAAGAAGGTGATCGCTTCGCCGGTGAAGTTGCCGTGGAGCTTGTCGAGGTCGACAGTGCGCTCCTTGAAGCTGATGGGTTGAATGCTGCTGAGATAATTGGGCCTCGATCCCTGGTTGTAGAAAGCCATGTTGCCATCTCGCTGGAAGTTACCCATGCGGTATGCGACACGTGGCGAGTTGACTGGCAGTTGTTGGTAGTTGGCGCCGATA